TAATGACAAAGCAAATCTGAGATAAAGTGAGCATTAACATATGAGGCCTGAATGAAAAAATGTAATCAATAATATTTAACCCTTATCCCAGTGACATTTCACAACAAAAGAATATTCTTATGACTAGCGATAAGGAGCTGGTGAGTGCTGTTTGACGTGTTGTGGAGGCCAACCTCTGTTGTTCTGTGAACTGTATATAAAATGTTTGTTCCTAGAGCTCACACACTCAGTTTCTCCCAGCCTCGGACCTTCACCTGACATTCGCACACAGCTCAGGTAAGATCTTAAATTACTTTTTTTTTTTTTTTTTTTAACAGAAAAAACACCAAACTCAATTGAAAATTTGTACTGTTTTAGCAATGTTGATATTTTTAAATACAGTTTTCTGTAATACTCACTCCAGCATTAATTTTCACTCATTTTTATCATTTTTTTTGTGTTATCCTAAATCAGAATGTATTCTGATATCTTTGCAGATTGCATTTACCATATGCTTGTTGTCCGTATTAAAATATATATTTTTAATGATTATGACATGGTGCTGAACACATGCTTCGCAGTGTCTCACAGAAAGCATTTCTGAAACCAGGAAAACAGGTGTGACAATATTTGCTACAATAGTTAACCCTCACAGAATGCAAAACTTTGTTCTGTCGCTTTCTTCTGTCTAATTTAATAAATCTGTGACCTTCTAACCATTTCACAACTAAATGGGGAACTTGCTTCAAATCTTAAGAGTGAGGAAAAAATGTATTGTATTTAGTTTCCGTTAACCTTTCAGTATAAAAGGTGATGACATTTTTCAACTTTAGAAATAGAGTGAAACACACTCTCTACATGTATTAAAAAGGCTGGATGAACTGAGACAGGTATAAATGCCGCATAACATAACTTCTGCAATCCCCCCTTTATCTTCTAAAGGAACCATGTCTGCTACGTACCTTCTTCTCCTGCTGGTCCCCGTGATCTCAGCTCAGACTTTTCACTGGGGTGCCTGCCCTATTCCAGAGGTGCAATCTAACTTCACCCTTCAACCGGTGAGCAAAGAGATATATGCATCCAGAGTAAACATTTTTTAGTGCAGAACTCATAGCTGGGTGTTGTGTTTTTTGTTGTTGTTTTTTTTTTGTTTTTGTTTTTTTTTTGTTACAGTACATGGGTAAGTGGTATGAGATTGAAAAGCTGCCCGATATTTTTGGAAGAGGACAGTGCATCAGGGAGGAAAACACCATGATGGAAGATGGGTCTGTTCAAGTGTCGTACTCACAGGTGTGGGACCCCCAGAACCAGTAAGTACTGAAGGATCAGGTCGATGGATTGATGACTGGAATATAGGTTAGATGGACTGATACTATTCATTTGTCCGTAGAGTTAGATAAGCTTATGTTAAGAAATCAGTTTTACCCCGGTTCTTTTTATTCCTCGAGCATCCAGAGATGGCACCGGACTCAGTAGTCATCAGTGTTGGTCAAGTTACTTGAAAAAAATGATCAGTAACTAATTACTGATTACTTCCCCAAAAAAGTAATCCTGTTACTTTACTGATTACTTATTTTCAAAAGTAATTAATTACTTAGTTACTTAGTTACTTTTTAAAAACACGATTTACAACCTGAAGAGGTGATAAAGCGATAGATCTTTCAGCCCAATTCTACTTTTTCTACATAATCCATCATACAAAATGTAATCAAATGGAAAAGTCTCTTTTTTTTTTTACTTGTTTTATCAGTTTTAATCTTTTAACTTTATGCATCAAGCAAAAATTTAATTATATGCAACATTCTCTAACTTGAATAAATTAGTTTAACATTTAAACCTATTTTCTGCACATTCCAGAACATAAAATAAAATATTTTTTGTGTTTACACTCACTCTTTCAAATAGATGCAAGTAAAACACAGCAGAAAATAAATAAAGTCAAAGACTCAGCGGTCTTGTTGCTCTATTTTCACCTGTAAAGCAGGACTGCGGTAGGCGGAGGTTTACCCTGGTGCAGGTGTGCCGCGGTCAGTTGAAGAATCCGCGAGTTTCCCATTATGTCGTTGCGCACTCGGTGCTTGCTCGGAAGTTTAGGGGTTTTTTTCCCTGTAAAAAGAAGTTTTCTTCCCACGCACGATGGACGCTAATGTTTTTGTCACTTTTTATGGAATCAAACTCAAAGTAAGGTCAGTACTTCCACGCTTTAAACGCTGCACGCTCATACTCTCTCCCACAATCGATATATTATCCATTGTTGATCTGCACACAGCTGTTGTCACTAACGGCGCACTCGCTTAAGTCACTGTCGTGAGACATTCTCGCAAAGAATCACGGTTTTAGTAACGCAGTAACGCAGCGTTCCTACGGGAAAGTAACGGTAATCTAATAGTAATCCCTTACTTTACCCGTTACTTGAAAAAGTAATCAGATTACAGTAACGCGTTACAAGTAACGCATTACCGGTGAGGGGCAGTAACGATGGGCAGTAACGCGTTACTTGTAACGCGTTACTGCCCATCTCTGGTAGTCATTTTCACACAATCTTTATTCATCTTTTACTCATCTTCATTTATCTTCATTTAAGCATGCACTTCTAGAAGGGAAGACGAGGCCGGTGTCCCTCTCCAAAATCTTCACCCCTTTGTTAGTTACAGCCAGCTTTATAGAAGCGACCCCATCATAAAACCCCCTACGGTGTGCTGCAAACTCTGTCTGTGTCTATGTGCACGAGCACATGAATGCCTACATGTGCGCGTTCCCACGTGTCTATGTGAGTGCTCGTGTGTGACTGTGTACTCATACCTGTGTGTATGTGTGAGTGCACATGAGTGAGTGTGCGTGTGGATGTGTGTGCGTGACAGTTAAAACACTGTGGGTGTAGGTAACTCCCTAGAGGTCATAAAACCCCTCTCCCTTCCAGACCACAGTTATCCAGTTACAAATGTTGAGACCCCCACCCTAAAACATCCTCTGGGGAATTTCCACTCAGTGGGGGAGGTCTCCTACACTCTACTCCTAAGTTCACGACACAGTCAGCCTTTATTACTTTAAGGGCAGAGTCTCTACAATAGTTCTACATTCTATGTTAACACATTTCTAAACTCTAAAATCAGCTAAACATTCTACATTTAGCATAAAGGAGAATAACGCAGGGAAAAGCTAGTATACTTCCGCCTGCAGATATCAAAAAATCCTTTTAACTATAACAACAAAGAAAAAAAGTCTAGTTTCTTGCAGTAGCATTAATGTTGTTGAAGCAATTGGCCGCTGGTAATAGATGGCTAATAATGGATGTGTTTGTCTGCAGGGTGAAACCTTGAACTTTACTTCTAGTGACTTTTCTTTGGATTTGTTCCGAGTGTTGATTTAATGTTTGCACAAGTATTTTTCTTCTGAAGAGCTGGGTTGAGTAAGAAAAAATGCCATGTAATCTATATTGACAAAAGGCTTAGTGGTGACACACCTCAAGTGAAGTTTTGATTAGGAGCAAATGCACTAGAGACAGACCTTGGTATGATAAGAGATATGACACAATGAATAGATTGATGAAATCGCATATTTGTCTCTCTCAGTCAGGGTAAAAGGTGGTACCTGGAAGGGACAGCCAAAGTTATAGACCCACAAGAACCAGCCAAGCTTGGAGTCAACTTCTTGTCTTGTAGGTACCTCCTTTATCATATATATATATATATATATATATATATATATATATATATATATATATAGTTTTAACTGTTACAACACTCCTTTTAACATTTTATTTCTGTTTCTGATCTTTATTCCCAGTTCTTCCTTACACCCCATACTGGGTTCTGTCAACCGACTACACAAACTATAGCATTGCGTACTCCTGCAAAGATGTCTTTGGGATCTTCTACTTTGATTTCGCCTGGATTCTTGCGCGGTCACCTTCTTTGCCTCCACAGATGGTGGATCAGGCCAAGCGGATGCTGATCAGCGGGGGGATCGACATTTCCAATATGACTCCCACAGATCAGAGCTGTAGCGTTTAGCAAGAACTGGCAGAGATGTTCAGTTATTGTAGAGTGTGTTTTTCCTCTCTGAGGGTTTTTTCCTTGATTACCTACGCCTGTAACTTTTTACATGAGCCTTTGTTTTTAAAAAGTACATTATTTTTGGGTTTTAATATGTTTTGCAGTTAAACGATCATCTCATCGAGCAAAAGTTATTTCCATCATGATTCATCTTCATGTCACAGTTCTTCAAATCAAAGTGCTGTCATACAGACATGAACACAGAAATGGTTTGAACTCTGTGTGAGCCGCCTGATAGTTGGAAACTATTCAGTAAAAGCTGTCCTATTTTTAAAGGTTTTAATGGATTTAATCAACTAAAGAGTGTTTGCATATCCTTGATTGCATGTAATAATCCATGAAACATGCTGTACTTGGTGTAGGAAAAACTTTGCTAAGATTCTGCTGGCATTAAAGATGAACCGATTAAACACTGGCTTGGCTTACATTCATTATAACTGTCATTAAATGAAGAAAATGCTATACGATCCTGACCCACAGTGAAATAATTGAGGGGCATTTTATTTTTAATAAAGAAAAAAGTATTTGCAATTTCACTGTAATAAAGTGGAAGAAATATCACACATAAATCATCTTTGTTCCTAGCCTCAAATCACAATAAAGCGGTACAACTGAAGAGCCAGCAGTACTGATTTTCAGCTAGTTATTTTATCTGTAAACCATTTAAAGGTGATGAAGAATAATATCATTTATATAATTTCCCTCATTCCAAGGTGGCATCTTCAGGTGTATGACAAACAATTCAAATGAAAATGATAAAGAAATAAATCAGCTTAATTCGGGGATGAACCCAGCATTAACACAGCGGTTCCTGAATGAATAACGACATTCATCCTTTCTCACAGTGACAGCACTTTCACCATACAGGAATGTGCGCATGATTACAATTAGTTAAACAGATGTCCTTATGCTGTCCGAGTGACGTAATGCGAAGGCTGACCTGTGTTTGTCTGGAGAGCTCAGACAGTGACCGAGAGCTCAGCCTCTAACTTCCACCTGACATCTGTACAGAGCTCAGGTAAGAACGCTTTAATAACTTTAATAAAATGGAAATACAACAAACATCTTGAGCATAAAGATTTATGTTTTAATACCCATAGTGTATCTTTTTACTGAAATTCTAAGTATATTATTAATGCAGCTCTTGCATTATTGCTACTGAAAATATACACTCCTGCAATAGCTCTCGTCTAATGTAACTTCTACCCTAATCTCCTGAAGGAACAATGTCTGGTGTGTGCTTTCTCCTTCTGATGCTCCCTCTGCTATCAGCTCAGACTTATCACTGGGGTCCCTGTCCTACTCCGAAGGTGCAGCCCAACTTTAACCTTCAGCAGGTGAGTACAAACTAAGGCATACACTCCTATAATGGCTTTCCTTCTCCGCCTTTCAGTGAAATCCATTAAAAATTTTTTACATATAAAGACCTCCTAAATATAAAGGCTCCTAAATATATATATATATATATAGCTGAGCTACTGGGACCTTATAACTACAGTCGTCCTCTCTGATCATCTGATTGGGCTCTTTTACACCCTCTCACACACCCTCTTCTTTTAAATCTAGAGGCTATTGCAATTCTAAACATTGGGTCAGCCTTAGCCTTCTGAAAATTAATTTCTATAGGTTAGCATTTCCTCAAATTTATTCCCAATATTTTTGGCTTTTGTTCTTCTAATATGTATTTATGTGAGTGCGTATGCAAGAATGAGTGTAAGACCACATGTCTGACCGTGTTTTTTGTGTGCTTGAATATGTACACCTATCTTCAATGTGTGATTTTATGCAAACTGTGAAGCATTTTCTAACTGTGTTTTATTTAATGATATACAAATGAAATAATTATAATTATTAAACAAAGAGTTGCACAGATCTAATGACTTGCCTATGGTTGTTACAGTACCTGGGTAAATGGTATGAGATTGAGAAGCTGCCTGCTCCCTTTGCAAGAGGAAAGTGCATTGAGATAAACTACTCCATTAGGAGAGATGGGACCATCCAGCTGCTGACCTCGCAGATCTAGTAAGTACTATAGCAAAGGATTCTTATTGTTGGTTCTCTTGACACCACATTTCTCTGCAACTTCCATTTTTCTTTTAGCATATACTCTTTTGAAGGAATATTGATACCACTGAAAAGATATCACTCTCATTTGTATGGTTGATATGATGCTGGAGACAAAAATAATTCTACTGTTTCTGGCATAAAAACTGTTGTCTGTGTAAAGAATCAGAAAGAATGCTTTGTTTCAAAACTCATTGTACCAAAAATCATGTTCTTCTCTATGTATGAAATATGTCTGTATATAGTCCCAGATTCAAGAAAGTAAACAGCGTAAAAGTGCTTTAAATCTAAATCCTTTGTTATGGTCAGCAATGGGCAACTCCTCTTATTTGAAAAAAGATTCTTGTTTGAATTAACGTTGCACAGGACTTTTGCCGTTTTAGTTTGCCATGTTGCCACAGTGACAAACTTCTCCCAACTTTGATGCAAGTAATGAAAAAGACAACCAATAGGAGCACAGTATATTGGCGACTCACAGATGACAGAATACAATATAAATTTGAGGATTACTTTCAGAGATTACATCCAGAGCCTGGAATGACAAACAGTTAACCATCGGCTTTAAGTGACAAGTGATGAATAGGTAAGCCAACCCTGAAAAGGAATGCTATTTACATCAATGCACAAGTGAGTGTTAAACATAGGCAAAAGGCATGTGAAACATCAAACAAGTAAAACAAAGGTGATAAGGTCTAAGAGTCAAACATTCCAGGGGATAGGCAACTGCCATCTGGTTATAGGTATTATGACCAGGATGTTAAAAGCAAAAGATTCCACGAATAGTGAGTCTGTCTCAGTTTCTAGCGTGGTTAGGAAGATACATCTATGTTCAAATCAAAGGGCTTACAGCAGTAGCTCAAAGCACACCTTGGTCCAAGCCATGATGATGGGTGATTTGATTTTTTTGTGAGTTTTTTTAGACTCCTTCAGGGTGTGTATTGTATGATGAGCAAAAAGTAATAAAGCTGACACTGACCATGGACAACTGACCTAAAGCTGATTGCCGGCACACCCGAGGTGGAGTTTACCTACATGAGGGATTCTGTCTTTCTGTCTGCCACGCCTCCAGCAGCAGATTTTATAATTAGTTGAATTAATAGTTAGTCTGTTTGAAATCTTTGTTGACATATTTTTTCATTTCAGTAAAGATAAGAAGAGGCATGCAGAAGGGACAGGTGTAGTTTCAGACCCACGAGAACCGGCCAAACTGGGAGTCAGTTTCTCATATTGTAAGTACTTATTATCCTTATTTTATCAACTATTTGATGAAACGTTGCAGTATTCCTGCTTTACTGAGATCAAATTGTACGAAGTCTGGTGGTCCTTTGAAATTACATCTTGACATTTGTATTTTTTCACTCAAACACCTTCTGTTGGCTATAATTTGGAGCTGTCCAGTACTTTAGTTGATGACAATATAGTGTGAGATTGTGAGTATACTGACATGCTGATACAAGCATTTGCCTTAAAGCACTGTGATACTGTACAGTTTTAATGTCATGGCTGTAGCCGGTCTTATTTATTGAACCTGTTGTATCATCATGATGTTTTAATTTTGTAATTACCTTGACTAATTTATCAGTGGGCTGATTTTATCAACTCATATTACATATTTGCTGATCTATTAGTATTAGCATTTTAGCCAATAAAAGAAACACCCTTGGGACTTGCTATGAATGTTGATGTTGCTTGTTTCTTCCACCATGCTATGTCCCTGTTTGAAACAAACTCGAAAGCCACAAATAAATCAACCAGCAGATCAGAGCAGAGGCAAAGCATAAATAGTTCAATAAAAAAAAACTACACAAAATCTGTTTATGTTTCATTTGTCGGAGAAAAAGAAAACCAAAAGCAGATTTTTAAGTCACTAAAAATCATATATTTGTCAGGCTCCATAATATTACACATTTAAGTTGGATCAGTTTTATTCAGAAAATCAATATAGAGATTCTCCTTTGGAAAAATGTTTGTTTTTTATACATTTTTTTTCTCTTTGTTCTCAGTCACTCCATATGTGCCATACTGGGTTCTGACTACTGACTACACCAGCTTGTCTGTCGTGTACTCCTGCACAGACATCCTTCGCATATTTCATTTCAACTACAGCTGGATTCTTGCCCGGTCGCCCTATCTGCCTCCAGAGACTGTGCATTACGCCAAACAGCTGCTAATTGATGAAGGAATCGACATTTTCAGGATGACACACACAGATCAGAACTGCAAGGATAAATAATAACCAATAGACACGTTCAGTTATTCCTCTCTTATGAACTCATCCCACTTCAATATATCTGTTTTTAATTGTTGCTGCCTTTTGAAAAGACATGTAAATTCTAAATAAAATGATCACTAAGTTAAAGTGTTAAAATTGTACAAAGGAGTTAGGTAACCCATTATCTATTAATTATTTTTAGTTTTAGCTATTTTAGGGGGATATCTGTGTGTGCAGGTGACTATTACTGTGCATAATTATTAGGCAACTTAACAAAAAACAAATATATACCCATTTCAATTATTTATTTTTACCAGTGACACCAATATAACATCTCCACATTCACAAATATACATTTCTGACATTCAAAAACAAAACAAAAACAAATCAGCGACCAATATAGCCACCTTTCTTTGCAAGGACACTCAAAAGCCTGTCATCCATGGATCCTGTCGGTGTTTTGATCTGTTCACCATCAACATTGCGTGCAGCAGCAACCACAGCCTCCCAGACACTGTTCAGAGAGGTGTACTGTTTTCCCTCCTTGTAAATCTCACATTTGATGATGGACCACAGGTTCTCAATGGGGTTCAGATCAGGTGAACAAGGTGGCCATGTCATTAGTTTTTCTTCTTTTATACCCTTTCTTGCCAGCCACGCTGTGGAGTACTTGGACGCGTGTGATGGAGCATTGTCCTGCATGAAAATCATGTTTTTCTTGAAGGATGCAGACTTCTTCCTGTACCACTGCTTGAAGAAGGTGTCTTCCAGAAACTGGCAGTAGGACTGGGAGTTGAGCTTGACTCCATCCTCAACCCGAAAAGGCCCCACAAGCTCACCTTTGATGATACCAGCCCAAACCAGTACTCCACCTCCACCTTGCTGGCGTCTGAGTGGGACTGGAGCTCTCTGCCCTTTACCAATCCAGCCACGGGCCCATCCATCTGGCCCATCAAGACTCACTCTCATTTCATCAGTCCATAAAACCTTAGAAAAACCAGTCTTGAGATATTTCTTGGCCCAGTCTTGATGTTTCAGCTTGTGTGTCTTGTTCAGTGGTGGTCGTCTTTCAGCCTTTCTTACCTTGGCCATGTCTCTGAGTATTGCACACCTTGTGCTTTTGGGCACTCCAGTGATGTTGCAGCTCTGAAATATGGCCAAACTGGTGGCAAGTGGCATCTTGGCAGCTGCACGCTTGACTTTTCTCAGTTCATGGGCAGTTATTTTGCACCTTGGTTTTTCCACACGCTTCTTGCGACCCTGTTGACTATTTTGAATGAAACGCTTGATTGTTCGATGATCACGCTTCAGAAGCTTTGCAATTTTGAGACTGCTGCATCCCCCTGCAAGATATCTCACTATTTTTGACTTTTCTGAGCCTGTCAAGTCCTTCTTTTGACCCATTTTGCCAAAGGAAAGGACGTTGCCTAATAATTATGCACACCTGATATAGGGTGTTGATGTCATTAGACCACACCCCTTCTCATTACAGAGATGCACATCACCTAATATGCTTAATTGGTAGTGGGCTTTCGAGCCTATACAGCTTGGGAGTAAGACAACATGCATGAAGAGGATGATGTGGACAAAATACTCATTTGCCTAATAATTCTGCACTCCCTGTAGAGAAAGTTGAGGAACAGGTAAAACAAAGACAAGAACATGAAAAAGTGCCTAAAAGGCAAATAACTACAACACTGAGGAAAAAAAGATAGAGGAGATGATAGAAAGATGATATCATGATGTACATTACTCTCTGAACTTCATGTTTGCATATTGACACTAGAGTGGATCATTTTCCTTGGTGATGAAAAAAAGGTTCTGTGTATATTACAGGTACTCTTTACAACCATCATTAATATATTGAACATTCTATTCTGATTCACTCTGATTGGGGAAATGCAGTATTTTCAATAAATTTTTAGATTTTAAGGGTTACCGCTGACATGATTTATATAAAGGGGGGAAGTATCACTTTTATATAGTCGACAGATTATTCTTGCAGCACAGTGATGCAGGGGTTTCTTTGTGGCATGAAAACATCACAAAGATGTTGCTTTAAAGACATTATAAATGAATGTGCATGTGAATGCCTGCCTGTTTCTCTGTGTCAGTCCTGGGATTGAGTGGCAACCAGAACTAGCCAACTCTGAACTGGCAGCTGAGACATGGACTGAGAATTGTGTCTGGATTAGTGAAGAAGGCACCAGACGCGTAGCTTGTGGGGCTGTGAGGATGCCATTTAATTTTAATGGTGACAATTTTATTTGTCAGGTTTAAGAATGTGGATCCAGCAAATATTTGGCTTCATCCTTAAAAATGTGACTAAAATAAAATAAAAAAAAGGTTTGCAGATTACCAGTTCATTGACTATTTATACAGGGAACTAAATATTTATTATGGGGAACCAAATGTTACTGCTCTACTAAAAGAGTCAGGAGAGATTTACACTTGTGGCCATTCATGCTGCCTTTTCTCTTTCCCAGTTTTTGTTTGGGTGTTTTAATCAGAATTTACACCTCAGTTTACATTACAGTTGCTGCAGTAGGTTTTGTTGGGGTAAAATGTTTATCTGTTTATCAAAAAATGCTTGTCTGTTTATTTCTATAAACAAAGAATAATCATTTAAAAATAATAAAAGCCATTCAGCTCAGCTCTACTTTATCAGAAGTAAAACTGTTTTACAGCATTAACTATTAGACTCGATCAGTAGCAGTGGTGGTCCAGAAGGACCAACTTGCTATTGTGTTCAATTTTTTACTTTCCTCCCAAATTAAACAGCTATAAATGAGCCTGAAATTCAAAACAAATCAAACTACTTCTTCTTTTTCTTTTTTTAGTAGGTGCGATGTGTACACAGCTGAGAGAAATATTTGTGAAAATATGAGGACAGCTCCCCTCTGAGTATACAGGGTACAGTATAATCTGGGCAAGACCTGGCGGGGTTATGTGCTTGCATGTGTGTGTTTGCTTAAGTGTGTTTTTGGAGGTCGGCTGCCTCTTCCTTCACTGAGCCCCTCACACCACAGACCTCAGTGAACCAGCAGAAGATCAGCAGCATCTCATTGCACGGCTTCACAGACTATTCACAGGTAAACAGCTGCAGAGTTTGATTCTGGTTTCAGAAGATTTCTAGTATATATATCAAGATATTCACTTTATTTATTGTTTAAGAGATTTCACTTTTGCAACATAGATAAAAAAACAAACAAACTACAGCATTGGTGGGCATTTTCTTCATTTAGGAGGGCGACATGAAGCTGCTGGTGTTGCTCGGTATTGTCTTCTGCCTCTTTGCCTGTCATCTCAGTGGTGAGTTTTTCTTTTTTTAATCCACAGAAAATATGTTCCCTTGAATTCAAGAGTTGGTGTGTTGTAGCTAAAGTTGAGTTTATTCATGCAGTGCAAACATTAATAAGTTTTAACACTAAGTTTGATATATGTACATGTAGAAATGTCGGTGAAAATAGCTGGAAATCATGTGATGTAACAGTGCTGCTGGAGAGGATTTGTTTTGTGTACAAAGAGGACTCTGAGTCTCCATGATGAATTCCTTCTGGTTTAGTCTGTTTGTGCGTGTGTGTGTGTGAATAGTTAACAATAATATTTGAGGAGGCAGCAGGTATTTGTAGTCCCCTAGGAAAAAGCTCTCTTTTCCAGACCTGAATCCCATCTTTGTGCTCAAGGAATGCCTGAAATGTTAACTTTTCCCCCCCTTCTCCCTCTCTCCCTTCCCCCCTTCCTTCTCCATCTCCTCATTGCAGAGGCCAGGATCATCCCAGAAGGAGGTAACTTTTCAAACTTCTTTTCGACGTCTTCAGACATATAAAAAAGCTCAATGAACTTTGCATACATGCTGTACATCAGAAGTAGCCAAATGCGGCCGGTGAATCAAACCCTGCATTCTCTTTGAAATATATGTCCTATCATTATTATTATTATTATTATTATTATTATTATTATTATTATTATATCTGCATCAAAAGTTTTCTATAACTTTTCACAACTCTTCTGTAGATAACATTACAAGTACATGGCATATAATGTTTACAAATAGGAAAATGAACTGCTACATTTTTTTTATTTCAAATAAATATTGGGAAGCATCCATAAATTAGTCAATGTCTTTTGGTCAAATGAGTCATGTGGACTCAACACCAGGTTCATCATGAGGGTTATTTGAAGACATTCAGTTTTTTTTCCACAGCCTTTTATAGCACTGAGCTCGACTCAAAGCAACTATGTCAACAGGGAGCATTCGCACAAAGGAAAGCCATTCATGTATATTTGAATTTCCTCCCCACACACTGTTGTTGGAATACAAGAATACAAAGGAGAAAGGGCGCGTCAGCTATGCTTGTCCTTAAATATTGACTCACATGACAGATGCTAAGTCATTATTTTCTCACATGTAGGCTCCAACAGCGGTGAGTGACCTCTGAGACTCTTGTGACCCTACCAAGGAAAAGAATTTCTCCACAGTGATATAAGCCTTGCTTATAAATGGGTGGATGGGGTGGTAACAGTCTTCAAATGGAATCTTAAAGCAACTTTAATAAACTAGAACACTTTTAATGCTAAAAAAAATCAGGATGCATAGATCAGGTATTTATTTAGAGAGAAATACTAGAGACAAATCATATTAGTTAATAATTTGGTCTTTTTAGCCTTTAAAAGGAGCGTTGATATGACATGCACATTTTTTTGTTTATAATAATCTCTTCAACTCATGACTTGTAGGAATTTATTCTACAAACTAACATTCCATTTTCATTTTAAACAGGCTTCTACCTGGACACCTGAATTAACGTTTGCATTTAGCAGCAAGAGCAAATATATGATTTTAAATGCAATAAAGATGTTTCTAATGAGCTATAATGTTGGTTGTATCTCTCTGAGTGGTAAACACCAGTTCTCCCTTCCCACTATCACCTGTTATTTTTGCTCAGAGGGGGTCATCTGATTGTTGGGGGTTTTGCTCTATTGTTGCAGGGTTTTTTGTTGTTTTTTTTTTACTTTAAAATATGAGGCAACTATTGTTGTTATGATTTGCCAGTGTTTAGCTGTCAAAATAAAGCTTTTACACTTAGGATTACCTAATACAATACCATTGTTCTGTGATTGAGTTGGGACAGCAACAAAACCCTTTGCTGATCTAAATACCTGGTGGAAATGAAAGCATTGTAAGAACCACATTTTCCATAGAATATGTTAAATAAGTCAACAAAGGCAATGCCTGTGCAGCGTTGTGGTTCACTTTGTTCTCTGTGAAAAATAAATAGCCATTGCCTCTCTTTTCACTTTCATATGTGGGAAACGGTGCCTGTGATATATCAGGAGTTAAAAACACCTGGTGCTTTTCTGAATGTGTGAATATGAACTACTACCAAAAACTATATTTACTACAAAATATCATCAGTAAATCCCTAACATGATACTTTATGGTCTGTAACAGCATCTGTTTGAGACTGTATGTACCCTGTCCTTTCTGACATGCCATGTGTCTTTCAGTGCCTTATGATGAACCACCAGCTGTTCCCTACTGGCCGTACACCACCTCTGACTTCTGGAACTACATTGAGTACTTCAGATCCATCGGTGCCTACAACTACATCAATGAGATGGCCCGGGCCTTCTTCGCCCACCAGCCCATAGGAGACACTCTAGGATATGAGACCAATGCAGGACATGAACACTAAGAGAGGAGCTAGACCCAAAAGAGAGAAAAAGTAACAAGAGCATGACATGAAAAAAAAATGTTATCATGAGGGTTTATTAAAGGGAAATAAGGAAATTATTATAAATATGAAACAAAAGGGGGATGTGAAAAGGAACACAGATTTTTTTTAGTAGCTTAGTCACATATATACAATAGAATTAGACATAAATAGCCCTCTTATTGTCATATAAAGTGCCACAAATAAATAAACAAACCATTCTTCAAATATGTAATGGAGTCTGAGATTTCTTTTAGTCTTTAGAGATCTAGTATTTTCTCTATACTATTGCTATTATTATTATTATTATCTATTTATTTGTTATTATTGTTGTTGCCATTTTTGCTTTAACAAGAGGCTTACAAAAAGACTCAAAATTTGCGATCACTATTTATAGTATATTTTGCAGGCTGTCAAAACAGGACTTAAATGGAGCAAACCGCACTTACCGTTTTAACTTTAAAGACTTGAACTTTAATTTGATCTATTAATTTATTAGAAATGATTTAACGTGCTTTGCGCGTGGTCATATTGAGGAATATTATAATCACCCATATTTTTCTGAGGGCGGACCGAAAGCGGCTAGTCAGCAGCGAAAACCGGGCATGAATTAGTGTTGCACACGGTTGTTCTGTTTACCACCACTTAAGCCTCGATAACTGCTAACGCAAACGCACCGTTTGACCTAATTGCGGCGGAACTGCTTTTAGAATAACATGAAGCCTGCAGTGGATGAAATGTTTCCTGAAGGAGCTGGTCCCTATGTGGACCTGGACGAGGTAGGTTCTCAGATTTAGAGCTTTAAATTAACCGGCGTCTAGATGTGCTAACGCTAACTAGCTCCATATGTTTAAAATGACATGAAACGGAAGCGATGAATATAATCGCCTAGCTTGTTTGTTTTTTGTTTTTGTTTTGGGGTTGTTGTTGTTTTTTTTTTTTTACATTTAACTGCGTTAATACGTTACATTTTGGGTTATTCAGTGTTCTTGATAGAAACACCTCAGCTCATCCCGTTAAATGCGTGCATGTCTATGCTGTTGCCTCAGCAAGAAGTCTGATTTTGAGTTCACCATCTTTCTGTGTGGAGTTTTAATGTTAACCCCGTGTTTGCGTGGGCTTTCCCGGGTACTCCGGCTTCCCCCACCGTCCACAGACATATAGTTAATGGGGTTAGGTTAACTGATGATTCTAAATTGCCCATTAGTGTCAGTAGGAAGTTATCTTTTTCTATGTGTTAGCCCTGCTATTGACTGTCAGCCTGCCCATGGTGTACCCCGTCTCTCACCCTACGATTGCTGGGATAGGCTCCAGCTTTCATATGTTTTTTTTTTTTTAATGGAGAGTTTCTCTCTTGTTATTCCAACTTCCTCCCACATCCTAAAGACATGTGTGTTAGGTTAACTGGAGATTTTAAACTAACGTAAGAGTGAGACTGTCTGGTGATCTGTGCTGGGTATAAACCGCCTCTTGCCCTCTGACAGCTGAGACTTCAGTCCTAAAATGTTGTTGTTGTTGTTTTTAATTAGTTTTAATTGCTATAACAAGGGTATTTTACAACTTTGGCATAGATAAGATTTGTCTTATCTCACTTTATATTGGGCCTGTTATCTTTAGTTTTAAATATAATTGTGTTTATTTTTTTGTTGTGTAACATTAAATCTTTGTGCTGGATATTAGTTAAAAGCTCTAAGTAAGCTCTGGCTAAATTGTTAATGTTAATTGCTTTTGTTTTCACTTGGAAGAAAAAAATCCCATCCATTTGCAACATTCAAATTTTCAGGTTATTATCTCAGAATTTCAACTTAATAACTGAAGTTTCAAGTTATTTTCTCAATTTTGAGTTTATTTCTCAGAACTTTGAGTTGGTAAGTTGAAATTCTAAGACCTGAACTTTTAACCTGTGGATTTTGGAGGAAATTTCCATAGCATACACTGCTGTGATGCAGTAAGTGTAGCAGTTTGTGTACATGTAGATCTTTCTCATGTGGTATGACTGGTTGCACTGTTGTGTGTTTGCAGGCAGGAGGCAGCAGCGGTCTGCTCATGGACCTGGCAGCTAATGAAAAAGCTGTGCACTCCGATTTCTTTAATGGTAAGGGACAGGTTTCTGCATCTCTTCCCAAATTATTAAATTTGATGAGGATTAAATTTACTTCACTGATTCAATTTAATGAGGTTAGGGCTTACAGAGTCGAGCTGGAATTAAACATAAATCTTGTTTTCATATGGCACGGCTAAGCTACGATTCCTTAATTTGTCTCATGAGGCAAACAAATGTGATTAAAACATATGGTATAACATTCCAAAAATAAGCAACGGCATGCTCCTTTCTCTATTTATTGATCACATCTAATAGAAAAACGTGTGATGTTAACAAGTAAAAACCCATTTAAGAGTCCCCAGTTTGTAAATTTGCCTAGTTTAAGCAAGATTGTGTTTGCATGCAGAGAGGAAGGTTCTTTAATGTTCAAGGCAATAACAGAAAACTGGTAAACATCTAGATTTCTAATAGGACAAGCAGACATTTTGCCTTTCCAAAACCTTCATTTAAAGTTTAAAATACATTAAAAGTGTAACTTAAGGTGTAAATATGAACAACTCAAACATAAAAAGTCAGCAAATAAACTTTCAAAGACGTGAAATAAACCCTATATGTTCCAGTATATTATTTCAGTAATTTGAAAGGCTGTGGCTGAGAAAGCCTTAAACCTGTTACCCATTTTCTTCCTTTAACCACGTTATCTTCTCACATTAACCCTCAGCAATCCCATTGTTCCCCTGTAAACACCAGTTTATGTGCAAACACAGACGCAGAAGACACACTATAAAACACCGAGCAAATCTGTTTTGTGCTGGCTGCCGGTGGAACAATTTTTGGCTCAGCAGCACATGACCTAGATAGAAAAGAGCTGATTGTTAAAAAGAGAGCGTGAGGGAAATGAGAGAGAAAGAGGATGGTAAAATGAGTTTATAGCTGCTGTCAGACCGAAACTCAGCGGGACACCTCGCCAGTCAGCTGCACACACACATTGGCACTCATCACCTGGGTCGTTAACACTGCTAGAACTGGTTCCCCTCTACCTAATAAGCTCTGTACTTAAGAGTATTGTAAAACTATAGATATCATCATATTTTAAAGCTCTTTTTTTAAAGTTGTTAGTTTTTTCCTGTAATTAAAGAAGGGGTTGTGCTGACTTGAAGAAGGCAAAGGTCCCCAGATCACATTTAAACGTGACAGGGTGAGTGCAGTTATGTTACGTCTTATGCATATGTAATAGAGGCCTTAGTCATTGTATTTTGAAGCCCATTGCAGCATTAACACCTTTAAGCTCCGCTATAACTTGCTGTTCACACTTTGACATAAAAGTTTGGTTTGGAGCCAGAACCTCTTTTCAGGTAGTTGTAGTTGACTCTTTTGCCTCTTTTTCACTATAACCTACTTTGTTTGGCTTGACTTGATTTGACTCTAGTCAGTTTCGGATGTTTTCCATTAAATTTGGGTACCATCTCAGTGTGGGTGAAGTCATTATAGCAATGTAGCTCAAAAGTCCTGTGATGTAATTTGTACGTGACACAAACACAACAACAACAACAACAACAGAGGATATCAAGTTAACGTTATCTCTGGTGCTAAACTGACTGTAAGTCTCTGCACCTCGTCACTGGGCCATGGTGTTGCTCTGTGTGTAACCGTTCCTTGTTGCCAGGGATATTGAATTTAATTTTTGTGAATGAGTCACTGACATGACTGAATCAGTGATATCACTCCCTGGCTAATCAGTAGCATGCAGTTTGTTGACGTCACATTTTTGGTTTAGCTCAGTCTGCTTGGAATCCCTGCCTACTGGGTATTAAAAAGTACCTGGTACTAGGACTGGGCCATATCATACCGTTCATGGTAATACCGGTATAATGTTGGGCAACAATAATATGGGTAAAACGCGCATGCACAGTGCCTTTGTTTTCATACGCACATTGCAGAAAAAGCAAGGCGGCAACGGAGAATGAGAAGGGCGAAAGCGGATCGTTGAATGAAACGGATGAACCAGAATTGGTTTTTAAAAATGCTGCAACTTCAGTGATGTGGAACTGGTTTAACTTTTGTCCGTCAGATACACAACAAAGCACTATTTTTGGTAGAGCATGCTAGCGGGCCGTCGTTATTACCGTGTTTTTTGAAAATACAGCACACTTAAAATCAATCCTTTGATTTTTCTGAAAATCAACAGTGCCCCTTATAATCCTGTGTGCCTTATGTATGAACTCTGGTTGTGTTTACTGACCTCGAAATGATTTTATGTCGTACACGGCGCTCGAAAATCTGTCAAATGTTTTAGTACGACTTTGCTGGAGTTGTAAAGTATTTTGTTTAGTGTCAATTATACCGTCAGTTATATTGTTATCGCAAATTTTCAAATGTATATCGTGATAAATATCTTTGGTCCTATTGCCCTGCTCTACCTGGTACCAGGTATTGTCCCCAATATGGAAAACCCTAATATCCGAGTCAAATCGAGCCAAGTCACATCATGCTAATTAAAAATGAGGCCATTGTTCTGGAGATTTCACTTTACTCTTATGGTCAGTGAATACTGGCTCTATCTGTTTATAGAAGCTGGATGACCATGCAGAACTGCTGGTTTATTTCAGAGACAGGGCTCTGTAAGTGTGGTATAAGGTCAATGCAACAGTGTGAAACATGAGATTTTTTTACTTCTTTTGAAGACAGATTGTGAAAGTGAGGTGTGTCAAGGAAGCTTTGGCTTTTATGCCATATTTTTACACCACTGAAAGTCATTACAGGTAGCCGAGGGCAAACTGTCCCTCATTACTGAAGAATGTTCACTTCGTCAAACAGTTTCTCAAGCCTGCTGTTGCGAATCATAGCCACCCTTTGGATATTTTGACAAATTAAATTTAGTCTGCAAACCTTCTTACATATGACCGGCATAAGTGGTTGCACAGTTGTATCGGTATTTTCTGTCTCACTATGTTGGTGCAGATTTCTTAAAAACTTGGAAGGTCAGAGTGCAGTTTAGACTAGAGATAACACGATACCACTTTTTTTTATGTCCGATGCCGATATCATAAATTTGGATATCTGCCAATACCGATATGAATCTGATATAGTGTATGTTTTATTCAACAAAACTGTTTTTTTTAATATCTTGCTGCATTTTGTATAAGTTCATACTCAAGAAAAAAAAACACTAAAG